ATATATTATATTATATATTATATTATTATATTTTTATTTCCTGGGCAAAAATGTCCAATCGAAGTGATTCCGCCCGCTCTCCCCTCCCCTTTCCCTGCGCGTGCAATCGTGATACGTTCACAACCCGATTCTACTCGCATCTACTCGCGAGGAGGAACATTTCGAACACTTGCATTGCACGTTGAGGAAGGCGGAGGCGCTCTGCTGGTCGCCGGTCTCGCCGGTAACCACGCAACTGTACTCCCCGAGATCGCCCATAGCGGCCGAGTTGATCGTCAACGTGCCATCCTCGCCGATCGACGCCCTCCTCTTGAAATCCTGTCCCAACGAATTTTCGATTAATGATCGTTAATCGAGAAAAAAGGATGTTGAAAGGAGAGGGGAAGGGAAGAGGTGGTCGTACCTCGATCTCCGTAATCTCCACCCCCTCGCGTAGCCAGGTGACGATGGACTTCTCCCCTTTGGCGACGCAATCGAAATCAACCGACTCGCCCTCCATCACGGTCTTGTTGACGGGCGGAACCGCCAGCAAAGTCTCGCCTGGAACAGACGTCGGAAACGGCGACGCACCTGGGTTGAACGATTTAACGAGTCTGCCCAGTTTCAGGTTAGTCAAGCGGCAGCGGGATTATTGTATAATTCGGGTCTCTTTGATTTTTTTTTTTTCTGTTTTTTTTTTTTTTTTTTAGTTTTGTCAGCTTTAAAGGCGGGATTATATATTATACATTATCTCTCGAGTCGGTTAATCAATTTAATTTCACAATGCCATTTCTTTCTTTTGTTAATGTTATTTCGTAATTTCGACGCGTGGGCGCGGAGGCACGATCGTGATCTTTTTTTTTTTTCCCTTTTTTTAGAGAGGCGAAACGAACGAACGTTCGTTATTTCATCTCTCCTTTTCTTTCTTTTTTTTTAAGGAAGGAAGGGGCGCGCCACGGCGCGAACAACTGCGCCGCGATGACTCAATTTCCCATTAACGCGTAACAGAACTCTGGCGGGCAAAAACCACTAGAATTCCGTCTCCGTTAACGAGTGAATCATCCGGTTTAATCTCGTCGAAACGAAGCGTCGAATTCGAGAATCGTGTCTCCTCTTTCTCGAGAGCGAGGGGTGCAAAAGGGGTAGCAAGATCAGGGGTAGCAAATAAACGTTTCTCTCTCTCTTTTTTTTTTATTTTTTCTTTCTCTTTTACTCTCTCGCTGCGAAGGGAAATCCACCCACGGGAAGATTTTCCGCTCGATCCAGCGTTAGTAGTTGGTGGTAGTAGTAGTAGTAATAGTAGCAGTAGTAGTAGTAGTAGTAGTAGTAGTGCATTTCAGTGCACAACAGGGTTAGTCAGCCGGCGCTTATTAACCGCGTTAATTCCCTCGACGGCTTCGTGTTATCGAATTAACCGGTTAACACGGTTGCAAGAAAGGGCCGCGGATCCTTACCATCTATGGCGAGGTGGAACCACGTCCCGTTGTTCCTCGAGTTGGGGGTCCTGTTCGGGAATATGACCCTGCACTCGTACCATCCCTGGTCGCTCTCCCGGATGTTCGTCAAATTGATACTCCCCTGCCCGTAACCTCGGCTCACGGCGTCCTCCAACAGGTGTACGCGGCCCTCGTACCCCAACCCCGTCGAGTATCCATTGTGAAACCA